TTTGGATTGCTGTTAATGCTGAATGTAAGAATGAAAACTGAAAGTAAAGAGTTTGTGCGGTGAAAGTTGCGTTCGTTGCAACAGTCGCCTCGACGGTATAAGAAACGTAGCGTTCCCCGACATAAACGAACTATTCAACCTTTTTTTTTTGTCAAATTCCACAGTTTCGAATGGAAAGTAGGTCTGCCATTTACATGATTCATGTAATTTATAATTGATTATGACGACAATAGCATTTTTCTATGTTGCGTTTTCAACAATACAACTGAAACTGAATGGGTGCATATTTTAAAACAAAAATATTATTTGCAGTTCAGATTGATTACTTTACAAAAATTCTTATTCTTGTTCTTTTACTGTTCTTTTTTTCTTTTTTTTAAATGTATTCCCCTAAATCCATTTAAATCCTTTATTTATTTAGTTTCTTTAAATAAATACTATTACCATAGTGGTCTGGTCTTTATATTTTCCTCAAAACAATTGGTCCCTCCAATGTTCTAGACATGATTACAGCCTTGTTTGGTTTAAATAAAAAAGTTAGTTGAAAAGAGTCACCAGTGTAGAAACAATGATCCAGAGAAAGAGAACAAAGAGGGCTTTTTTTGCTATTCAATAAAGAAAAAAAAGTTTATTTTGCTGTGAAAGTGCATGATATTCTAGGCTGCCCATGAAAGCTTTTTTCAGTGTACATATAATATAGTTAATATAGCAATATGTACAGTATAAATATTTTCTAGACTATGTGATATGACAGCTAAAAAATGCCCACCCAGGTTATCTGCCAGCCCACCCTTCTATAGCAGTCAAGAACCGGGCCTGACTTGATTTGTAACGTAAATCATTTAAACCTATGCCAACACAGGAGAATACATCAACATATTTCTAAATATGCGATTTATTGTACAGTGCGATTTCAAAATAAAAGTTTCCGACTTTGCATGTGGCCAAATATTCAAATTAATTGGATTTAAACGTCGTTGAGTCACATAAAACATCACCAAGCCGTTGGCGCCCTCTGCAGGTATTTGTTATAATATAGGCATATTACATTACGTATTCAACATTGTTCAATAAAACCATGTACTTGGTTTTGATACTTTATTTGAGGCCAATTATTATTGCCTCATCGTTACTTTATATATAAATATAATCATATTAAAGCCTGTTTTTCATTTAGTTTTATTTGTATTACTAAAAAATGTCAGATTACTCACTCAAAATAATCAGTAGATTACTTGATTAGCAAAATAATCATTAGTTAAGCCCTAGATTAGTTAAAACATTTCAAAATACAAGTGCATTGTTTTACTTTTTGTGATTAAGACATTTTCAAATGACAAAATATTTGTCTTTTAAAGTATTAAAACATTGTCTCGTTCTAGTGAACCAAGTATCTGCATTTTGTCTCACCTTGTGAGCTAAGTGTATTGTCACATCCCTAGTGTCTATGAGCGTGATAAAGCTCAACCATTATTTATTTTGAACAAAGCTATTTCAGAAAATTCATGTTTTAGATTGTAGGTCATCTTGCACCCTGTCAAGGACAAAGCTAACCAGCAAAACTTGATATCAAAAGCATCCTAAATGTTACATGTGTTTCCACCATATTGTAATGAGTAAACTTTTTTGGTATTGCTGTTTCAAATATCCCACCATAATCTGTAGTCTGAGCCGGTCAAGGGCTAATGGCAATGGCAGATACGTTACTAGTTAGTGTCTTTTTTTGTTTGCCAAATAACCCTGTGTATGTTTCTGCCCCCGCAACCTCCAACCCCCAGAAAAAAGTTCAGGCTCAGGATTTTTTGCTTTAACCCCTGAATTTATTTTATTAATTTATACTATTATATATAAATATATATATATATATATAACAAACACAATTAAAATTATGTATACAAGTGTAGTATAAATTAAAACATTTTCATTATAAAATCAACCTAAAATATAAATATTAACCTAAAAGTCTTGATGTTGAAAAAGTTCTTGCCCATGTTATTTGTCACCAACCCTTTTACATATTGCATTATTAAAAACCCGGACCTCAGAAGTGACCTGCTGAGAGTTCATACCTTCAGAGTTGACTTGTTTGACGGAGGGTGATCTGGAGCGGTTGCTGAGGGAGGGCTGTTTGTTGGTGTCAGAGCTGATGAAGGAGATGGCATCTTCTCCCTCAGCCGTGCCCATCAGAGACGTTCTGTAGTAAATCAGCGGCATCCAGCTCTCCTCTCTGTTGTTAATGACCAGCTCACCAGCAAACTTCTGCAAATAACTGTAGCTGGGGAAGAGACGACCAGTTTAAAGATGTTAAGATCCAAATTGCTAGATGTCAAGCTTGCAGAATTAATTTTGTTTTAACTTTAACTTACATAGTCTTCTTGTCAGGTTTGAGCAGTTTGCTGGAGAATTCGCTGAGGATGGTGAGGTATGAGATGTACAGCGGAGAGTGTTTCTCAGACTGCTGAACGAACCCTTTGAAAACAAACTCAATGCCGTCCCTGCACAGAGAAACCAGTAAGAGAACATTTCCTTTTAAGACCTGAATATTCCTTCTCCTATCTATCTAAATTTGAATCCTAATATAAGACCAAAACTACAGCTGGCTGGAAAATGAATTTCTCAGGCCTGAAATAACCAAAGACAGGACTCTTCTGTACTGGCTAAATGAAGCCATGCGGTGCAGCATCTTGACAAAACTATTTTTATTTGCGGTCAAACATAGCAATCAGTCTGTTTTAGCTGTCACTATTCCAGACATGTGACCTGAACTCGCTGACACGGAGTCAGCAGCAGAGTGGACTGCACTACCTGTGGATCATGGCCAGGGACTCGCGGGATTTGATCTGGTCCCATCCGAAGGTGAGTGAGAAGCGTCTGGCCAGCTCCTTGATGCTGCTGTAGGTCTGGACCCTGGAGCTGCAGGTGTTTCCTCTGTCCTGCTCCTGTTTCAGCCTCAGATACAGCTGAACACACACAGAAAATGTATGGAAGTCCATGCACATGACGGATTATAGAAAATCTGTCCTTATTTCTATTGCATTATTAATGATTATCTGTGATCACAAATATATTGCAGCTTAATTTTTCTCTGTCTAAAAGAGGGGAACTTTTGTATATATGCTATATATTAGCATATATACAAAATACATTGATTATATTTTTGTGGGGATTATGATGGACATTCGCACTCCAACATAAGATATCTGATATATATATATATATATATATATATATATATATAAAATTAAATAAACATGCTTTAATTGATAGTGCATATGCATAATTACATTAGTGTAAGATAAACATGACATGTCATATGATAAAAGACGTGATAAAATATTAATGAAATAAAAGTTTAAAATCTTGAATAGTCTTTTTTACATTATTGTAATATTTAATAATATTTAATCATGGAGCAGCTTACACCTCACTATAATTAAATATTATAATTAACATGTTTAATATGGATACTATGGTACTATAAATTTCCAGTATACTGGTTGTCAAAGTTCTATTGTCTAAAATATACTTTTTTTTTTTTTACATATTTAATAACTAATAATCTTATAATGAAATATAATGACAATATACAATGTACAAATTTTCGATGAAATAATATATGTACACTACACTACCATTCAGTAAGATTTTTTTAATGAATAAAAGAAATGAATACTTTTATTCAGCAAGGATGCATTAAATTAATCAAAAGTGAACGGAAAGAATTTTACATTGTTACAAAAAAAAATAACATTTAAAATAAATATTGTTCTTTTGAACTTTCTATTCATGAGAGAATCTAGGTTTCCACATATATAAAAAGCAGCACAGCTGTTATCAACATTGATAATAATATTTAAAACTGATAACAGAACTGCATCTTGATAGCATATTAGAATGATTTCTGGAGGATCATTTGACACTGAAGACTTGGAATAAATAACATTTTATTATTTTTTTTAATATATTAAAATGGATAATATATTAAACAGAAAACAGTTATTTTAAATTCTAAAATATAATATTTAACAATATTACTGTTTTTGTGTTTTTTTATCAAATAAATGCAGCCTTGATGAGCATAAGAGATTACTTTTAAAAACAGAACAGTAGTGTACAACGTATAATTTAAAGGGGTCATATGATGTTGCTAAAAAGAACATTATTTTGTGTATTTGGTGTAATGAAATGTGTATGC